CTGTAACATATGTTAGAAAGGGGCCCTAAATTAAAAAAAAAAACACACTTAAATGTTAACACAGATATTTTTTACTTGCATAGTAAAGTCATTGTAATTTTTCATTTGCTAAACAGCCAGATAATACGACAAATCGCTAACCTTAAACACCCACTCGTTCATAAAATTTGAAGGCAGTATAGTGATAGAGCAAGTAATTAGTAATAGAGCAAGTGCAGAATCACTGAACCGGAATTGATAGCTTGAAAGCATTTAGCGCGGGGCCCTTGAAAATGCGGGGCCCGTAGCTACTACACGTGTAGCTACTACACATGTAGCTACTACATGTGTAGCTACTACACGTGTAGCTACTACACATGCAGCTACTACACATGTAGCTACTACACATGTAGCTACTACACATGCAGCTACTACACATGTAGCTACTACTACATGTAGCTACTACACATGTAGCTACTACTACATGTAGCTACTACACGTGTAGCTACTACTACATGTAGCTACTACACGTGTAGCTACTACACATGTAGCTACTACACGTGTAGCTACTACACATGTAGCTACTACACGTGTAGCTACTACACATGCAGCTACTACACATGTAGCTACTACACATGTAGCTACTACTACATGTAGCTACTACTACATGTAGCTACTACACATGTAGCTACTACTACATGTAGCTACTACACATGTAGCTACTACTACATGTAGCTACTACACGTGTAGCTACTACACATGCAGCTACACATGTAGCTACTTGTACTACAAGAATAACCTGGCACTGGGTCCTCCCCCCCCCATCCCCCCCCCCCCCCCCCGAGTGCAGATCTTTTGACCCTCTTGTCAATTGTTCCACTTCGACTTTTTTTCTCCTCGTCCATATTGTTTGTTTGAGTCAGGGCCCCACAGTAGACGATCGATCACACGTGGCCAGTGCATGGATCCTCATTCTGACCGACAAAACTTCGCCTCAACGGTGGCTGAAATGATTTTTTTGCCACGACGGGGGATTCATGGCCGTGGGCGCGCGACGGGAGGCGTTCGGCTCAAACTCCCTCCACCGATGGCGGTGACGGCCATTCCAGCATTTCATCAAACATCCCCCTGCGTCTGTCCACCCAGCGGCACGGGCGTGTCCACCGCAGTCAGTCGAGCGGCAGGTCACACGATTTGGTGGTCGTTGTGCGCGGGATTCCGTAGCTCCTCCAAGACGTCTGGCCACGGGGTGCAAGAGTCGGCCAAATGTCCCTCTCTTGGAGGCGCTTCTCTGGATCTCTCTCTGGAGGTGGAGGCCCTTCCGCTAGCAGGAGCGCGAGCAGGCAATTGCAGGGGATGAACCTTTGGCCTTTAACTTGCGTGGTGGAGGTGGGGGAAACGATGCCGGCAGAAAGGGCAAACTTAATCTGTGGCACGAATGTCTCGACAGAATTGCGGGGGAATTCATCGAAGTACAAAAGACAGTTTCGAGAGGATAGATCTTGTGCACTTAACGGGTTCCAAGCAAATCTCATAAATCTCACGCAGAGTCCCACACAATTGTATTCGAGGGCTCAGTGAATGCATTTTTTAAAGCTCATGATTTTCCATTGGGCACAAGTTTTGGGTTTTAATGGAGCATGTAAGTAGAATTTTTCGTCGTTTCGTGCAGTGGATTCCGAGAATATGATGTAAGATCTGGCCGGCTGATGTCATTTTTCTTTTTTTGCTGTGAAGAAGAAATAACCTGAGCCAAAATGTTTTCCACTGACTTTCAGGAAGCTGTATTGGTTGTGATCGTTTTCATTTGTTACTTAATTGACCTAATTTGCTGACAAAATTACGCGAGCGGGGAAATTTTTGTGTGTACTGGGGAGAGAATGAAAGAGCACGCTCTTTTTAAAGTCACTGCCAAACCAACAAAAAGACCGTTGGAAAGGACAGAACCACGGTGAGCATCGGTGGTGGAACGATCTATAATACATTAATCGATTACATACATTATCACATCGTGCCCATGTGTTAAAAATCGATGGGGTTTTTTCAGTCGGTCTGTGTTCAATATTAGAGGTTTTAAGTCAGACCTGCAACTACTAGAGGGGCTACCATTCACTGGAATATTAAATAAGTAGATGAATCATGGGCCCTAAATTGCAACAATTAATGTAATTAACTGTGGGGGGGGGGGGGTGGAGAATTAACCTCTCCAACGCTCCTAAAACAAATAATCGAGCCATTTGCTCTTACTACTGCCATCGATGTCGTTCTGCCATGTAAATGTTCAAATCGTTAGGCATTTGTAACGTGCTGCCCAGACTTCCTCGGATTCGGAGGCGCGGCTGAAAGACATAGGCAGGCGGGAAGAAGGCAGCCAGTGCCGGTTCCACCAACAATTGCCCAAGCTCTGTGGCCCTATATATTTGGGGATATTTGGCCAACCTGCGTTAATGAGTTGCTTTATACATGCGGGAGTTAAACCGCAGGGGCCTGGGGGGAAAGGCCGCGCGGGTGAAAGGGGCAACACTCAATCCCCGTACAGATTTTTTTCGCTCAACTTATTTATCCAGGGCTTTTATTGCAATAATTGTTTTCAGCCAATCAATGAATAACGGGTACGCTGCGAGTGTGAAAAAACACAGGTGTGCAAGGTGAGGAGGGTGGGGGCTTACAATCCCCAGTCCCCCTCCCCCCCCGTACAGATGTAAACAGATGGAGGATCAATCCACTTACCGTAAACTGACACCTCCTGGCGAGCCCAGGGTACGGCGACCTCGTCGGCCACGGGGAAAGGGAAGTTCGCACCAACCACGGCCCGGCGATAGCGCGCATGTTGGGCTGCTCTGCAACCTTCGGCATCCTCGTCGCTACAAAAGAAATGCAAACTCGAGCCCCACTTGGACCGGCAGATCAGCGGCGACGAGAAGGCCGCAGCTTGATCGGTTCTCGCCGAGTTCAGGCGCGCTCGTGTGTCGGCGCCGGCCAAAGATCATTCGCTCTGTTTTCGCTCGGCCAATGTCGTGGGCGAGTCGACGGAGGCGCGTGAACGAGCTCCTTTGTTGTACGCTCGCGTGTGCGAGAGCACAGCAGAGCGTTTGGCACCTTCACACTAAGCCCCAGTATGGCTGCGAGTTGGCACATATACATATATATGTGTATGTGTGTATATATATGTGTGTGTGGGGAGCAGTAGTGTAGCTGTTTTAGCGCGTTGCGCTACGAACCCGGAGACCCGGGTTCAATTCCCGCTCGTGGCTGACACCAGCGACGATTATCCGAACCAGTCATGGGCCTTCCCTAGGTCGACTCAGTCTCAAATGAGTACCTGGTGCGGTGTGTGTAAACATCACCACTGGAGAGACAAAGGCGGTCGAGCGTGGTGCTTGCCCACCCACCACTACAATGTGCCGTGTCGGCCTTCATAGGTGCTGCTCGCTAACAGCACTTGCCCCAACAGTCCGTTAAGGCTACACGGGGCAGCTTTGCCATTGTTACATATTTATTTCGTTCCAATTATAGGATCGGTTGGTGTTGGCCATGTGGCGTGGCTTTCCTCGCGTCGTAATCAGGGCAGCATGGTTCGCTTTTCGGCAGGTGCGGGCACAACGCATCCCGCGGCGGTCTCAAGAAATCCTTGGATCCCCCAAACCCCAGATCACGCAAACATGGATCACGGATTCCCGTATCACGTAACACGAACCCAGAATCCCGGATCCCGCAAACCGAGCTTAGGCTGGAAGAAACGCGCGCAGATTGTGCGCGCATCGCGATGTACGAAAGCTGCCACCCTCGTCCAGACCACCAGCTCAGAAGAACTGCACGTGTGTGTGTGTGCGTGTGCTTTCAGTTAGCACAGTAGGGGGCACAGGTGGTGCATCTACCAGTCATCTGACTCAGTCGATCCATGGCACCTGCTGGGTCTGCCCCGTGACCTCCTGCCTGCGGGCGTTCGACACTTCACGTGGCCTTAACGTGCACATGGCCTGGAACGGGCGCCGGGGTGACGTCACCACCACTTAGTGGCGAATGGCCGTTGTTGTTGTTGCTCTCAGTCAGCCAACCCATGGCACCTGGGTATGAGACCTCCTGTCAGCGAGGCCTTCGACGCTTCACGTTGCCTCGAAGTGCACCTGGCCTGGCACAGGCGCCGAGGTAACGTCACCGCGACTTAGTGGCGAACGGCGGCTATTGGTGTGTTCTCAATGTGTAGACCCACCAGCTCGACCATCCCTTTGTGTTGTCACGGCCCACGCTAAGTGTTCTGCGTTTGATGGGGGGGGGGGGGGGGGGGGGGGGGGCTTCTCCGTATTTTACTGGAGTGAAACCCAGGTTAACGGCCGGGTCTGTCCCATCACCCTTGGGGCGCAACAGGAGTGTCCTCTTCGCCCCACTTTGACTATATTTGTGCCTCCTTATAGGGTGACTACTGTGCACTTACAGGGCTTGTCGTCGTCATCGCCAGTATTCGTGTCACATTGTCGTAGGGAGAGAAATGCATGGACTCAAAAAATCTCCCGACAAAATACTCACCAAAATAGTTGCGTGTGGGTTGTAATAATTGAGCACGGGATTGAGCAAGAAACCAAATGCGAATGTACACGTGTATATTTCTAATTTATTAATGAGCATCGCTATGAAGGAAGTTGAAAGGTTAACCCGGGGATAACGTGTCTTTGCGTGCCTGCACGTGTGTGTGGGTGGGGAGCGGTAGTGTAGTGGCTAGCACAATGCCGCTACGCAACCGCGCAACCCGAGTTCGATTCCGGCTCACGGCCGATAACAGCGGCGAATATTTTGAAGCTGTCCCCGAGGTAGACTCAGTCTGAAGTGAGTCCCTGCTCCAGTGTGCACAACAGCAGCACTTTGGGGACAAATGCGGGGCCGGGCGTGGTGCTGGACACCCATCCGACCTCGCGTGCCACCGTGCCGTTCTTCACGAGGTGCTACTCGCGTAGAGCACTTACCGCAACAGTCTGTTAAAAAGCTACATGAGGGTATTTTTGTCTGTGTGTGTGTGTTCCAAGGGGGAACGTGGTACCCAAGGGGAGACTGGTACCCCGGGAGCTGATGGTAAGCCTGTGAGTACTTCACCTTTCACATCTCCGATGAGTGCACGCGACGGCTTTTTCTTCTTCCTCGAGGACACCGTAATGCATTCGCAGAAGCCCTCTCTACAACTCTCTCTCGCAACCGCCACGCTCCGTGGCTTTTATCTCAGCGGGCGCGGTGTGCAACCTTGGCAGAACGTGAGTGTTTCGCTCTGTTGAGCTTGCAGCGGTCTGATTTTTTAAATATATATATAAATAACAACACTTGGAGAGTGTGTTCAGCCTCTCGCACAAAGAAGCTCTCTTATTTTTTATAATATCCACTACTTTTTTCGCCGTGGGGGGGGAGGGGGGGATAAAACATTCCGTGCTTGTTAGCGGAGCACGCCGTTTAAACCCACGCCTGAACAACGAGCGTTGGTTATTTATTGGGTAACGTTGTCGACCAATTCGATCACTGTGAATGTTCCTAATTGTTCCGGACAAAATTCAAGGCGAATATTTCCGCCGCCAAGCATCGGATTAACGTACGAAACACGCCTTAATGTCGTTTGCCAACACGGCATATATTTTTAAAATGGAATGCACGCCCCCGCTGGCTGAGCGCTCTTAGCGCACAGCATCGACGCGACGCACCTTACAGGACGAGCTGCCCCACGTACCACGGATCACCATTTTATATCGATGGGTACAAAATTGCAATGAGCAATAATTTTATTGAAAAATAAAAATATATATATTCACGGCTTTATTTCAATCGTGTCGTCGGCACTCTGCCACGTGACACAGCGCCCATTCAGAGCCTCCCCCCCCCCAAAGCGCAGTGCAGAAAATCTTTGCATAGCAATCAAGTGGTAGTTTTATTTTTAATATTATTATTTATCATCGTACACGCTTATCGCTTTCGCCAAGTTAGGAAGAACAATCAAATTGAGTGAAAGTAGTTTTGTTATTTTCTTACATCTGCATGCATGCATGTTGAACTTTCCTCGCACCGTTCGTAGCCAACCGCGCTAATCGGAGCTGCATTGTGAAGGGCAACAGACTAACGATGCGCAGCCATTGCCGACCGTGCCGAGACAACCCCCTGCTTTCGACAAACCGAGTTTAACCATTTGGCGGATGAACCTGGGTTCAAACCCAGGTTCTCCGGCGTTTGCCGGCTCCGACGTTTTCGATTCCCGAGCCACCGCCTCCCATATCACCGTTTTCGCTCTTGCCCGCCAGTGAGGCCAATTCTCAACCGTTGCTGATTTCACCCGTGCATCGTTCACTTCTTCCACCCCCCCTCCCCGCTTATGTGTTGTGATGTTGCCCACCCCCCCACCCCCGCCTGTTGGGAATTCTAGGGAATTCGTGGAATTCAAGGCAGCCAAGGGATAGCTGGCATCCCTGGTCCACAGGTGAGAAGGACACCGCGTGAATGAACTGGGCGTATGCAGACAATGGCGATGTCTGCATCACTCTGTGGGACAGATGGCTGGACCACAGAAAAGCCACTGTATGTTTGAAACAATGCAAAAGCGTGTGGTCTCGAGTGCAGAAGATGCTGGGAAATTGCACAGGGTATGCAAACTCGGACGATGTGTGGCGTACAATTGTGGCAAGAGAGTCGTGATTTAAGAGGAATCTCTGAGTGACAGGACACACGGGCATGATGGAGGAGGATAGGGTAAAAGCGGTGGTGTGGAATAGAACGTGTCGAGACAGTTATTGAATGATAGAAAAAAGAACAGGCTTTCACCCTTCCTGGCTTGTAAAAAAACAGACGTGAAAATGTTCAAACACAAAATAGACACCAATGACAAGGCATGGAGTCTGCATCAGTCACAGTACTTGCACTAAAATACAAACGAATATGCATCGATAACAGAGGTTTTTTTTGGGGTTAGATGGCGTCAATATATAATTGTGTCGTGAAACCCGCCCGACAACCAAACTAGTAAGGGTTGTCACGTAACCAGAACGTGCCAATTCGTTACTAGTACAGCACACCGGTGTGTTAGAGAGCCAATCCACAACATTAACAATCTGAGCACGACGTTTCGTAAGTAATTGCAACTAGCTCAATCAGGCGACTGTAACGAATTGGCATGTTCTGTTTACGTGGCAAACCTTACTGATTGTCTGTGGCGGGTGGTGGCGGGTTTAACGACACATTTGTATGTTTACGCGATCTAACCAATCCAAAAAAGCCTGTATTATGGATGATACACGTCGCGAAAGCCTACGTGTTCAACTGAATATGCATTGATAATATGCGCACTGCCCTTCGATTTGATTGGCCTGCACCAGAAACAGCCTTCCTCTGTACTATGGCTTCGTCTCACCAGTGCTGGACCAAAGGCCGCCAAAAGGCGACCAGTACAGGGACAATGCAAACACCAAAGCATTAAGAGGCCGTGTTCAGCAATGAGAGCTACGGGGTCCTTTTACCAGTGTGAAGATATTGAAGGATTAAAAAAAGGCTTTACCCCTTTTTATGGTCGAACGTTCCGTCACGTTGTGCACAGAGAGTATCATCTTAGTGGGGTTTCTGAGCTGGCATTTATTGAGATGCTGGACACAACGGGGGGTTCCACGGTGCTAGATTTACGAAGCAGCTGTGTGTCCTACATATTCAACGTTGTTGTTGTTATTATTATTTTGATATTTGGAAGATGAGCCATCATCCTTAACGACACACACGGCCACATGGGCTGCTCTTGAGTGAATATGAAACAATGGCAATTCACAGAGGTTCTTATCGAACCTCCTTGGGTATCTTCTGAGGTTATCCCCCTTATTCCGTACCTTGAACACACGCGAGCAGTTTGAGCAACACCTCCTTCGCGTCATCTCTCTTTTCCAAATTTCTTGTGATGAAAAATATAAAATCAAGACGCGTTTGCTCGCTCTTCTTGCCTGTGGCAACGTCGATGGTGCTGTTTGCTGCTGCCCGCTCGGCGTGGCTCGAGCCTTCTGGGGCGGCGTTGCCCGGCAACTGACGACGAAGTACTGGACATCTATGAAAAAGAGCTTTATAGTTCATCGGATTCCTCCGGTATAAATAAATATTCTGATTCCGAACATAACGACAAGCGCGAGCTTCTTTAAGTGCATTCAGGCTGTGCAGCTGCTCTTTGATTCGTCGCAAATGTGAACGTTAATCAGGTTCATCTTCTTTGGTTCTTTCGGTAAAGTCACGTAGAATGAGAATAAAATAATAAAATAAAATAACACAATAAAATTATCGCGACGTTTCTTCAGAAGGCCACTTGTGCTGTGGCCGAAACGTCGTGAGAATTTTATTGTGTTATTTTATTTTATTAGTTTATTCTCATTCTACGTCACTTTACCGAAAGAACCAAAGAAGATGAATCCTTGCAGTCGCGAAAGCTTTAAATCGAAAATTAATCAGGTTTTTTGCTTGTTACGTTGACCTTTTCCCGTGGACACAACCCAAGCCGTGCTGGCCTCGAGTACCGCAAACGTGTCTCTTGCTTCGTCACCTCGTCGCCCCCCCCACCCCACCCCACCCCGGGGCTGCCATCTCCGAGGTGGTTCTGACCGCCCCGTGGCTGCTCGTTGCTTTGTCTCAACAGGGGACGCGGGGGGTGGCCGGAAGCTCTGGGCAGCCGGGCAGCACTGGACCTCCGGTGAGACGGCACGAAAACCAAACTCTCAGCCGTTGTGGCATTGGCCGTACGTCCGCGTGCAGGGCCCTCCTGATGAATGATAACAAATCGTGAGCCTCAGTGGCGCGGCCCTAAGTAAGCAACGCTAGTGCTTTATTATTACGACTGTCATTTCGACGGTCAGAATTTACAATGCCGCTGTCGACTGCTGTCGGATGAAGTCGGATGAAGGCCTCCGTTGTGGCAGTAATTGGGGGTTGTTTGACCATACTTCACCACTCTGGTGTGTTCAGAGAGGGGGGTGAATATTGTTCCATCTGCACACAATGGAGGACGGGGTGGAGGGCTCTCAGGGCTGGTCCAGGTATCGCTCGCCACTGATCTTAGCCGTAGCTGGGAATAAAACCTTGACGGAGGGCCTAAATGTAGCTGCATTGAGATTCTCAATGATTCTCAATGAATCTCAATGTTATTGTATTGAATTGAACAAAAATAATTGACAGATGGGTCGTGCACACGTGTTTCACAGGGATCGATCACAGTGTGGTCACAAGGGGTTGATCACATATGTTCATATGTTGAACTTGTTTTACATTGTACCTAGGGGCCGTCCATAAATGACGTCACGCACATAGGGGTGGGGGGGGGGGGGTCGGACATTTGTGACGATGTGTGACGAGGGGGGTGGGGGGGTGTTTGAGAAATGTGACGTCACATCAAAAGTGCGCAACTTTAAATAAATATAGACAACACGTTCTACTTAATTAAATAGAGTTTTTAATAAATGTTTTCTCCTACAACATCAGAGTGCAACGCCACATTAAATACCCACTACAATGACAATAGTTTAAAGCGATTTGAAGCGTGTTTTATTTATTTGGGGGGGGGGGGGGCAGAGCTTTGTGACGTCATAATTAAGGGGGGTCTGACTTTTTGTGACGCCGTGTGACGAAGAGGGGGGGGGGTCAAAAATCATCCAAAATCGCGTGACGTCATTTATGTACGGCCTCCTAGCCGACCGCGCTAATCGGAGGTGCCGGGGGAAGGACGGCAAACTAAACAAAAAAAGCACTTCTAAAGAAATGAGTTTTCAATCTCGATGATTTAAAAGTGCACATCGCCCGTGGCTCCCTCGTGTCGGAAGGAAGGGCCTTTCGAGACGGTCGCAGACGCGCATCGTAAAGCGCCGCGCGATGCGGCGACCGCCGTCATCTTTGTTCATTGGCGAGCAGCCAAAAGTCGCCGCCGCCGCCGCTGCTGCTGCTGAGGATGGCCGGAGTCCACGTGACGACGGTTGGATGCTCCTTGGCGAGATCAGTGCGGTGTGGTCACGGGGGGTTTGATCTTGGTGTGGTCACAAGGAGTTGATTTTGGTGTGGTCACAGGGGAGTTGATATTGGTGTGGTCACAGGGGAGTTGATCTTGGTGTGGTCACAAGGAGTTGATTTTGGTGTGGTCACAGGGGAGTTGATCTTGGTGTGGTCACAGGGGAGTTGATTTTGGTGTGGTCACGGGGGAGTTGATCTTGGTGTGGTCACGGGGGAGTTGTCATTGGTGTGGTCACAAGGAGTTGATCTTGGTGTGGTCACGGGGGGGTTGATCTTGGTGTGGTCACGGGGGAGTTGATCTTGGTGTGGTCACAGGAGAGTTGATATTGGTGTGGTCACAAGGAATTGATCTTGGTGTGGTCACGGGGGAGTTGATTTTGGTGTGGTCACGAGGGGTTGATCTTGGTGTGGTCACGGGGGAGTTGATTTTGGTGTGGTCACGGGGGGGTTGATATTGGTATGGTCACAGGGAGGTTGATTTTGGAGTGGTCACAGGGAGTTGATCTTGGTATGGTCACAGGGGGGTTGATCTTGGTGTGGTCACGGGGGAATTGATATTGGTGTGGTCACAAGGAATTGATTTTGGTGTGGTCACGGGGAGTTGATCTTGGTGTGGTCACGGGGGAGTTGATCTTGGTGTGGTCACGGGGGAGTTGATTTTGGTGTGGTCACGAGGGGTTGATCTTGGTGTCGTCACGGGGGAGTTGATTTTGGTGTGGTCACGGGGGAGTTGATCTTGGTGTGGTCACAGGAAGTTGATCTTGATGTGGTCACAGGGGGGTTGATCTTGATGTGGTCACAAGGAGTTGATATTGGTGTGGTCACAGAGGGGTTGATCGTGGTGTGGTCACGAGGGAGTTGATCTTGGTGTGGTCACGGGGAGTTGATCTTGGTGTGGTCACAGGGGAGTTGATCTTGGTGTGGTCACAGGGGAGTTGATCTTGGTGTGGTCACGGGGGCAGTTGATATTGGTGTGGTCGGAGAGGGGGAGGAGGTTGAACATTTTTCCTCTTCTATGAGTCGCTGGAGAGACGTGCGCGGTGCTAGCACCAGATGTGGGCTCGTGTATGCGAGCGAGCGTACGAGCGAGTGAGTAATGTTTGTCCTGCTCATAACAAATGTATTTGACACGCATTTCTGAGCGCTCTGCGAGCCTCGGGGCGATTCGGTGGCCTGGTAAGCGTCGGGCTCGTGAAATTAACTCCCCGTCCTGGCGGTCGTCTGCCTGTTCCCCAAAAGGGGACCCCCCTCCAACCAACCCCCTCCCCCCCCCCCCTTAGGTCAACTTTGCCTGAAATGAGAAAATAATGGGAGCCTCCCACAGGTCGACTCGGTATTTTGTACAAAACAACGCAATTCCAATTGCCTCTTCCTCCCAAGGTCGACTTCCCCTAACATTGTGTCCGGGACAGCTGAGCGTGCAGCCAGTTCCTGTGGCCTCGCTCACAGCGAGTGCAGGCTGCCTGCCCTGGGTTGGAGCCGCTGTCTTACAAAGTGGGTGGATAAATTGTGGTACCACTGTCTAACAAGCTGTCGGGGTGGGGGGGGGAGGGTGTGGGCATGAGTGTGTGGGTCGAGGTGATGCCGTGCGATTCCCGGCTCAGTCGAGAGTCGTGAATGGCGAGCACATTCTGTCGATGGAGGAGCTGTAGCCAAGGGGGATGGGACCATGGAGTGAATCATTCTCACACGCCAGGGACACGGGTTCCATTCCCCCCGGGGTCCGATTGCACATGGCAGCTGGTGTACTTTTCCACTGAACTCAACCATACCATTTCCAACTGAAATAAAACGCGCTATAAATGTACTTTTAAAATAATAATAATAATAATAATAAATAAAACCTATAAAGGTTCGTGTCGACGCCGATGTACGCACGTTGCCTGTTTGGAACCGAGACGATTAATCTGTTGGGTGCGCGTGGCCCAGGGTGTGTGACTTCACCTGCCGAGTGAATCTTTGACTTGGATTCTCTGTCCCGCTCTGCTCCGCTGTGTCCAGGGCGAGCGGGGATACCCGGGAATGCCTGGACTCCTGGGCCCCCCGGGGCCACAGGTAGATCACTCACCACCCCACGTGACCCTTCGTGCATCGCTCACCATTGCACGCGACTCACCATCGCAGATCACTCACCGTTGTTGATCACTCACCATCGTAAATTACTCACCATCATATTTCACTAAGGGGCCGTCCATAAATGACGTCACGCGATTTTGGACGATTTTTGACCCCCCCCCCCCCTAGTCACACGGCGTCACAAAAAGTCAGACCCCCCCTCAAATATTACGTCACAAAGCTCTGCCCCCCCAAAAAAAATTAAACATGCTTCAAATCGCTTTAAACTATTGTCATTGTAGTGCGTATTTAATGTGGCGCTGCACTCTGATGTTGTAGGAGAAATACTTGATTAAAAAGTCTATTTAATTAAGCAGAACGTGTTGTCGATATGTATTTAAAGTTGCGCATTTTACGTCACATTTCTCAACACCCAACCCCCCGTCGTCACAAATGTCTGACCCCTCCCCCCCCCTAGGTGCGTGACGTCATTTATGGACGCCCCCTAACCATTCTACATCACCATCGTACACCACGCACCAATATACATACTCACCCTGCTCATGATACCCACAGCAGCCTGACAAATGTGCGCATGTGTCCACATGGACATTGGCAGACATTCCTCAGCTTGGTTTGTATCTGAATGTGTACATTAGGGAAACTGTGCATGTGTTCTTGTGTGTGTGTGTCTCTTGACGCGTGTGATTATCCTGGGGCTGGCCTGGCCTTAGTTTACTCAGCCTTAACTGGGTACGGGACGCCGTGTGTGTGTGTAAACTCTTCAGATGGACGCCACAAAGTCTGGTCTATACATTGCCTAAAAAAAGAAAGAACAATGTGTTGCTCTGGTTTTAGTCGTGCATGACGGTGTGACATGTAATCGTGCACGCGCGTTTGCTTGTTGCATGTGTGTATGTCGTGGGGAGCGGTAGTGTCGCGGTTAGCGCTACGCTGCACTATGAACCTGGCCACCCGGGTTCGATTCCCGCTCACGTCCAACAGCAGTGACGATTATCTGAACCGGTCCTAGGCCTCGATTAGGACGACTCAAATGAATACCTGGTGGGGTTTTTTTTCAGTTTTCAGTTTATTTATTTTGGTATAGCCCTGTGTGCCATTCGGCTCTTGAAACGGGTGCAACCACAACAAACAAAAAAACAAAAACACGAACAAGAAAAACATCTTAAAGTGACTATGTGACTGTGCAAACAGAAAATCCATGAAAAAAAAACACCAAAATATTCCTGAAAAAGGTACCGTACACCAACGCTGTGTGCAAAAAATCCCAGTGGGATGCAAGTCAAACAACAACAACAACAACCACAAGAAAACTTAGATCAAGGCCATCAGTCTAACTCCGTACTACAACAAAACAAACATGTCCAAACAAAAAAACGTTTTCCAAATCACCAATATAATTGCAACGTAACAGTGATCACAGGGACTGTGACCGAATTTTTACAATAAACATCGCCACTAGAGAGACAAAGAAGGCCGGGCGTGGTGTTGGCCACCCATCCCCTCGTGTACCGTGCCGGCCTTCATAGGTGCTCATAACAGCACTTGCCCCAACAGCCTGTTAAGGCTACACGGGGGATATTTGTCTTCGTATAGGGGAGAGCTGTGGCTTAAGTGATGAGCGCGCTGGCGTTGTTAGGAACCGCTGTGCGAACCGAGTTCGATTCCCGCTCTCACGGCCAACATCGACCCCGGTCCTGGGCCTCGCCTCGGTCAGCTCGGCCTCGAGAGAGCATTCGGTGCGGTGTATGAAACATCGATGCTGGGGAGACAGAGGCGACCAGGCGTGCGGTCAATGGCCACAACACCCTTGTTTTTTTCTTCTTTGGTTCTTTCGGTAAAGTCACGTAGAATGAGAATAAAATAATAAATTGATCAAATAAAATAACACAATAATATTCTCACGACGTTTCGGCCACAACACAAGCGGCCTTCATCAGGTGAAGGGACGAGACTGTCTGGTAGGACAGCGCTGGAGTGAAAGAGCCACGTTCAGATCACGGCCTTTAAGCTGTGTGAGAGGAACAAAGCGCCTTGACAAAGGAATTAGCATATCATTTAGCATTGAAATGGCTGAATGATTAGCTTGTGACTGGTCACAGAAATAGTTATGTTAAAAGTTAAAGCATACACATCCGCAGAGGCACCCCTTGCTAATTCCTTTAACAAGGGGTGCCTCTGCGGATGTGTATGCCTTAACTTAGCTATTTCAATGCTAAATTCTATGCTAATTCCTTTAACAATGGGTGCCTCTGCGGGTGTGTATGCTTTAACTTTTAACATAGCTATTTCTGTGACCAGTCACAAGCTAATCATTCAGCCATTTCAATGCTAAATTTTATGCTAATTCCTTTGTCAAGGTGCTTTGTTCCTCTCACACAGCTTAAAGGTCGTGATCTGAACGTGGCTCTTTCACTCCAGCGCTGTCCTACCAGACAGTCTCGTCCCTTCACCTGATGAAGGCCGCTTGTGTTGTGGCCGAAACGTCCAGAGAATATTATTGTGTTATTTTATTTTATCAATTTATTATTTTATTCTCATTCTACGTGACTTTACCGAAAGAACCAAAGAAGATGAATCATTGCAGTCACGAAAGCTTTAAATCGAAACACCCTTGTTGTTTGTGCTCCATTCTGGCCACGACAGTTGTTCGCCAACGACACTATTTGTCCACCAACAGGCGATGTTTATTCATGATCACGGTTTTTTTTTTTTTGGGGGGGGGGGTTATGCCCGCCGACTCGTAAGGTTTGTCACGACCTGAACAAAACGCGGGCAATTCGCGACCACCTCAGCACCACCGCTTGAGCGTTTAGAGAGCAAACCCACAACGGCATTTACAACTCGAGTGCTGGTGACGTTTCGCTGGCGGTTACAGCCACCAGCATCATCAGGCGATTGCCAGAATTGTGAAGGTGGCCTCCCGTTCTCGATCTTAATTAGGGTTCAGTAATGTCATCACTGTGCGCCTGCAACTTGGAAGGACCCAGTGGGGGTTAATGTTTTCGTATGAATTCCATTCAATTATATGAATGTGAAATATTAAACATACTGCCCATGTTATCCGGTTAGGTTAGTTAGGTCAGGCTATCTATGTAAAGGCTATCTGGGGAAACTTCGTGTGCGTGTGTATGTGTGTGGGTGCGCGCATGCGTTGCGTATGTGGGGAGCGGTAGTGTAGTGGTTGGTGAACTTCGCTACCAACCCTGCGACTCGAGTTCGATTCCCGGTCACGATCAACACCAGCGATGGATTATTTGAACTGGTCCTGGGCCAAACGAGTACCTGGTGCGATGTCTACATGTCGCCACTCAGGGAAACAAAGGCGGCCGGGCGTGGTGCTGGCCCCCCACCCTCACGTGTGTGCCACAGTGCCGACCTTCTTAGGTGCTCGCTAACAGCACTTGCCCCAAAAGTATGTTAAGGCTATACGGGGGGCCTTGTCTTTGTGCGTGCACGTCCACGTGCGAAGCTTCGCAGGGTGATGTTTTTGATTTTCAAAGCCTGTGCGCTTGAGTGGGATTGCTTCTGCTGCTGCTCCTACTAAGGTGCAGTGGGGAAAGTGGGGAGAATGATTTTGCCAAAGTCCTTGTTTCATTGATTGCGGAGGGGTCTAGACAAGGTTCATGAAGGGGAATTAAGCTTAGCCGTAAAACACGCACACACACGGTCCGGGAGTTGTTGGTAATTTCCCCAGTCGTAACTTTTTGTTTACGATTTATTTGCATCTGAACGATGGCAAAAAGAAAATACACCGTTAGCTTGAGTTAAAAGCAGCACAAGTCATTCGCAAAGAACGGCGCAGCTAAACTTTATTGGATATTGCAAATCGCGACCCTTTTTTCAGTATTCATGTATTACTCGGCACTGGTTTTTCGCGTGTTTTTTTTGTTGTTGTAAATCAAATTATACGCAGGGACCGCATTTTTCAATTTAAAGATATCTAGCGACGCAATGAGAGTTGCACATGTGGCGGTGGCGGGGTTGGTGGGTTGGGGGTTATTGCATCCCTTCAAACGGTGCCAAAAAAATGCCCATAAATGTGCTGCCCTGTAAATCATGAGCGTCGAGCGGTGGAGGAGTTTAACTCTTAGACGCCATCGTTAGAGTGTCGCGCAGCAGTGGGCATAGTAAATGAACATTGGCAGCTCGGGGGAGGGGCATATTTTGATTCGTCTCGCACGGTCGCACCTCGAGGCTGTTATTATATCAATAATCAATAATCAATGTTATTATATCAATACGTATCGTTGCTTCTCTTGCCGTAATCACATCGTCGTTACACTCGCGTTCGAGAACAATTAACGCTGTCGGGGCGTGCCGTCTTTGCATAATAAGTTGTTGTTGTTCTGTTTACACTGTTGTTGAAAACGTATCTCATGGTGGTTGTCGAGGGGGCCCCAACTTGTAGCTTTGGCCACCAGAGTGGGAGGGGGGGGGCAAGGTACTCCCGTGCCCCCACGCTAAGTTACGCGACTGCTGAGCACATACGTACACAAGTATCGTACGAAGGTAATTCATAGTAGCTTCCAACGGAATATTGGAGCGGTTGGGGGTTGCGAGCGCCTATTAGGGGCTGGCGCCAGCGGAACAAAGGGGGTGGTGTGGCCAGACCCACGCCCTGCCGCCTTTGTCTCCCCCAGTGCTGACGCCTTCTGCCGAAATTGGCACCAGGTGCCGATTTAAGGGCGGCTTTTCCCAAGGGGAGCCCCAGCTCGGGGTTTATATCTTCCGTAGCGGACGCTGACTACAGCTGGTAATGATCGAACTCGCGTTAGATCGCGTAAATATATAAATGTGTCGTTAAAGCCGCCACCACCCGACACAGCCAACTAGTAAGGTTTGTCATGTAAACAGAGCGTGACAATTCGTCACTCGTACAGAACACTGGTGTGTTGGAGAACAAATCCACAATATTTACAACATTTACATGGGATTTGCTCTCCAACACACCGGTGTGCTGTACCAGCAACGAATTGGTATGTTCAGTTTACGTGAAAAACGTCACAAATTAGCTGCGTCAGGTGGTGGAGGGTTTAACGACACATTCATATATACACACGATCTAACCCAAAAAAAAACCTGTATTATGTATTATATTGGTCGCGAAAGCCTACTACGTATTAAACCAATCGAGCTCAGGTTTGCCGGGTCTGTAGCTCAGTGCAGGGCAAGGGCCACCAACTCCGCACACGACGTCCGCACTCGAACTCGGGTCGCCGTGTACGCGGGGACAGTGCCGGACGAGGTAAGCGCGGGATCAGAGAACGTACGCAGGTGAATAAACGACATCATCCAAACTGCGGAGAAACGTGAGCGGGCTTGTGCAGGGCGTGTGACGGGGAGAGGGGGGCGATGGCCGGCGGTCGAGAGCAACGGAGTGACGGCCAAGGAATGGAGCGCGTCAAAAAGGGAGGAGATGGAGCGATGAAATCAGTCCGCGCGCAGTTGCTGGGTGGATTATCACATCACAGTGGATTGGCGATGGCTGAGTGATGATGATGATGGTGAATGACTACGATCAACGATAACGACGATGACCGTCCATCGTCTTGCCGGCTGCACGGGTGGCAAGTGGAACATGACGATGTTATTCTGCCAACGCCTGACCTCTCCCTTTGCCCTCCCCCACCACCCTGTGTCCCCTCCTCCACCCCCGACTTTCAGGGTTCACCTGGCCGCCGCGGTGACCCAGGCCCCGTTGGTCCCGAAGGAAGAAAGGCATGTTGGTAATTTACATTGGCTTCATTTCTGTACAACAATGACGGGGCGTAAATTATCGAGTCGAGCCCACGCGGGTTCGAGTGCGGTGCAGCTGCCGCGTGTAGCGGGCACCCTCGGTTGGGGTATCTTAATGGGCGGAGTGAAGTTATTTGCTGAACTCGAATTCCCGCCCGCCATGTCGAGTTTACTTTTGAGTGGAAGCAGAAGGGGAAAAAGAAAGGGGAGGAAAAAAGCAACGCCAAATGAACATAAATTGGCGGGCTCGTTAGCTGGCACGTGCGTTGCTGCGTCAGCGTTTCCCGGGACAATCAGGGAATTTAAATAAACTTTATACGTTTTGTAATAAAAAGTGTTTTTTTTTCCGACGGTAGGATCACCCCTGTGAAAAGAAAGAACATGAATGGGGCTGTATTAAAATCTAACGAAAAAAAAAATGCTTGGCGTGCTTGAAACAAAATAGGCTTAAGCTTCATTGATAATTAAAAATATAAATACATTTTAATGCTTGGTCTTTTTCCCACTCGCGTTTCAAATGTGCCATTGATGCGATTTTCTTAGACCAGAGAATCCACCCGGAACTGTCGCAATTTGAATGCGATGACTTTTTGGTGGAGTCATTGGTGACTGGGGTGAGAGGATCTCATTCCTGTGCTCGATCGACTGAAATCTTCATTCAAACCCAGAATCTCAGCGGAGCAGGCTCCACACCCACGATAACAAGTACAATAACCAACTCAAATCGAACGCAATTTTTCTGGCACGGAGCCAGAGCCGCGAATGACATCACGGCATATTTAACATCTGCCGTGCAGGTCGACCCGCAGAACCGCTGCGACGGGAAGCACCGGTTCAGGCTTTGCCCTCCACCACCCAGCCACTTTACCGAATTCATGAGAAACGCATTGCACGATAGCAAAGGGCATTAACTTTTACTCGGTGATGCATCGATTCGTCAATACGAATTGGTGCCCACGCTCAGGACATGCACATTGCTTCAGGAGGGCGGGAACACCGATAATCAGGGTGGACGCTGGATTCGTACCGCTCCCTCCTCGGCCCTCCATTGTTGCTGGATGGCGACTGCCTCCGACTGACCAAGCGGCGTCCTTCACGAGCCTCCCCCTCTGCAGATCCACACGCGCACACAGACACACGCGCGCGCAGACACTATAGACCCACAAATTGGCCTGCGCGGAATCACTTCATCATGCGCGAGATCCTTGACCCCGCGCAGTGCACAGATGCGTCGCCCCAGTAGCGAGACACGCTCGCTCGCGCGTCTTGAGACGCGTCCAGCGTTCACTACTTTTGTTCAGCCCCCCGGAGGACTTGGCTGTCCTCCTCGGCTGATTAATTGCGTCAGGAAAGAGCGTCTTAGAAAAGCCCTAAATCTCGTTGAATCTGGGGGTTATTTCTCCTTTATTCTGGTGGTCGCTCAAGACTGGCGCCGGAACGGCGAGTAGATTGTTCGCCAGTGGAACGAGAATTCACGTGACATGAAGCGCCCTCGGCTTCATTCGTAATTGAATGTTTTGAAACTAAAACGATCAAGAACAATTTTGTATTTTTTTGCCAGGTAAGGCCCCCTGAGCTTTAAACATAGCTCTTTTTTTCAGAAGCGATCTTGCCAATCACAAATGATAGCCCAACGAAGTGGCCTCTCATCGTGTGGACATTTATAGCAGACAAATAGTCGAAACGCGTGATGTTGATTCTGAATGTGGAGGGGATAAAACCTGGGGACCCAGAGAAAAATCCATGCCCCACGGGGAGAGAAACATGGAAACTCCAAATATACAGCAGGCGTCAAGGTCGGGATCAAACCCACGACCTCCTGTATACCTTTGTCATGATTGCAGGTGACCCTGGTAACTTAAATCACTTTTGTTTTTTTTCCCGTTAAGGTGAACTTCAGTTACGTCTTTGGATTTAAACACTATTAATTATTATACTGCACCATCTTTTGTTGCGAGTGTAATATGTAGAATATTTTTTGGAGTGATAATTATTAAAATTAGGAGCTCTCTGTCAATTTCCCTGGCTGGATGAAGGCCTCTCCACGCCGTGTCGGTCATGGGGGCTGTTTGACCATACTTCACCACACATGGTCAGTGCGGGTTGTTCGAAGTGTGGGCCAGTTAAGTTGAACAATTCAATAAAGAACACGGGTCAGGTGACACGTTTTATTCTGAACTTACGCGGTCCCTCACCTGAAAATCTCTTGACGCAGTTTTGAGCGAAATGGTGTCGCATCTAAAGTAAAGTGTGCCCCTGAGAATTGGTCCTCGGCTTTACCCGCGGCGAGCTGAGGAATGCAATCGTCAGCGCGCCGATTTTATTTGCGTTGCCTACGTCGGGCGGTGGAGGGTCTCACGACCAAAATTTTTTAGGCGGTATAATCATGTGTGTAAAGGACTTCCAGCCACGGTCAGTCTCGAACATCGTCTTTGTGACATATTGCGAACAGCACATCCGCGTGCTAGGGGATCTCTCCGTTGAGGCGCCACCCTGAACCCCCACCCTTCTTATATCCCTCCTCGTCTTCTCTCTTCCCCATCCTTTCCCGAACTTTCCACGACTCTCCGCCGATCTCCTGATGGTCACCCACCCCTCATTTACATCTATTTTTTCCCTGATCAACAAATCCGATTTCAACGACTCTCCGCCTTCAAATCCAATTGGGTGCCCCCAATGTCAGCTCCTCCCCCCCTACCTGTAACAGCTCTTCGCCAATGAAAGTCAAGCGCGCCATTCAAACTCGCAAGCCGGTCGCGTGCAGTGTGGTGGGGTAGAGTTGTGGGTATTCCCACCTCTCCCAAGAAGTCTGGCCGGCGTCGGAGAGCATGCTAGATTTCCCCTCGGGAAGGGCTCTCTCTAGAGAGCTCCCTCCAGTAAATTCCCTTCCAGCAGCAGTGGAGTGAGCAGGTGATTTGAGGGATGCGCCTTTATCTGACTGTGGACCTGCCAGCACCCCCCATGCCTGTAGGTCATGGGGGGTGCGGGCAGGTGTGCGTGCACACGTGTGGCCTTGGCAACTTGGCAACTTCCAAACAAAGTCGGCTCTTGAAACGTAAGCGCCCGAGGATGGGAGGCAGTGACAAATGGGGCTTCGTCGCGAGACCGCGACTCCGAGTTTAATGCTTCCCTGCCATATTATTTTTTCACGAAATCCTCCCAGACCCGTAACATTTATTCCCTTTTTTAAATAAAATTATTCCCTTTTTTAAAGCAGTTTTTTTTAACTCGTTATGCGTGCGCGTGTTTTTTGTTTTGTTGTGTTTTCGCTGACCACAGGGAGACCGTGGCACCAAGGGCTCTCAAGGTCTGCTAGGCCCCAGGGGACAGGAGGTAAACCGTGCGGGATATCTGTGCACAACTGCTGCTTGCCAGCTCATGCTGCATGTCCACAGGCCTTCAGACACCAGGCCCAAGCGCCGGTAGTATCACGGGACCCACACCGCTCGCTTGTTGCCCCAGTGCTTTGTGGGCACGCAGCTCTGTATGCATGTATGTAGAACTTCTTTCACACCGTACATAGCCAACCGTGCTAATCAGAGGTGCGGGGAAGGAAAATCTCTGTGGATGCGGCCCCAACACTCTGCCCCTCCCCATGCCCCTCTCCGCAGCCAGAGAGGGAAGTGATCATTAGTTGTTTTTTTGGATTGATTTATTAACTTACGCTATCTCAAGGTTCCGAAGCGAAGCGCACACGGCCCCCCGGTTGGAGCGGGCCGCGGCGCTCGGCCATGGCCCGCTTGGCCCAGCGACGACGTCGCGGCACCCCGGGCTGAGCACCGCTTGACCAGGGTCAAAGGCCACGGTGGCTGGGGGATGTTAGCTACCCTCACCATGGTATGCAGGAGATAGTGGGTTCGATCCCGAACCTGACGCCTGCTGTATATTTGGAGTTTGCGTGTCTCTCTCCTCATATTCGCGTGGATTTTTCTCCGGGTCCTCCGGGTTTTCCCCTCCACATGTAGAATCGACGTACGTTTCGAGTATTTGGCTGCCATACATTTTACACGTGATAAGCCACTTAGTTGCGCTATCATTTGTGGCCAGGTCGCTTCTGAAAAAGATTTACCACATAGCTCAGTGGGCCTTACCTGGTGTATAAGTAGAAAAAAATATATTCTATTCTACGCCAGGCTGGCCTGCTTTTCATCGGTTGTGGAAACGCGGCATCAGACACCTCCCGCTTACACCCATCACACTCACTTTAACCGAGGCGTGCGCGCAGCTTTTAAGCCAAGGAGCAGCTGAAAAGCAAGAGCGCATATGATCGCGTATGGTATGTTCGTAAATCATCAGGAGAAACTTCGAGACAGGATACATTCTGACTGGAAATCAAAACCCATGGTAGACCATGGGTCTCTGGTTGAGCTATCTATGACCAAAACACCACATAGCCAGAAACGCTCCAATGGGGTTAATTTTAAAGGGCGTTATATATGTTCACAAAATCTGGTCGCACTGCTGTATTTTTTTTTCCGTGAGCTTTGGGAATAATTTTGCAAGAAAGATTTGTTTTTTTAATATAAAAACCTGTCGTTGACAAATGGGGACTTTGGCACGGACTTAAAATTGCTAGAAATACATTGACGCTTTCTCGTGTTTACCTTCGCAAAGTTCATTCGCGTCGTCGCGTCGGACCATCGCTGTGATCCGTATTTTGCTTCGCCAGGCTCACGATGGCTCTGTTTTTGTTCTGAATCTGTGACAGGGTCAGCCTGGCTCCGACGGGACGAACGGCTCTCCTGGCATCCCTGGTGCCAAGGTAAATGAACGCTCACAGGGCAGGCCCTATTACATTATGGGCGTCTCCTTTTAATATATTTTTCTTTCAGTAATGAAGCGGTGTTTTGATTTTTTTTCCCCTACCCCGAAACATTCCCAATTGTGCCGAGGTTAAAACATCCCACTGTGGAAATCCCAACAGAGCACCGCAACCCGATTGGTGATAGGACAGTTGCTGTTTCACAGGAGATCTCCGGACACAACAAAAAAAAGCCTTTAAACAGTCGGGGATTCGCACTCTTCCGGTACACTCTGCTATGAGATTATTTTCATCGCATGATAGCCAAACACAGCTGAATTGTAGCCAAGCCGAGCGCAATTTTACTCACAAGAGGGACACGTCTTGTACGCATGCCCCGCAAAGAGTGTTTGTGGCACGTCCATCAAACTGACGTGTTTAATTCTCAATATTTGATGTGGTGAGATTGTTTGGACCTGTCATTGGTGACCGGGCCAAGACCATTAACTCACTGCACTTGGGAATCCGGTTTAGTCACAGGCGGCTAAAACCCGGTATCGAACCCAGGTTCTCAGCTGCGCTGGCTAAGCACCATGGCCTCTGAGCCACTTAGGCACCTCCCCTCATGGCATCTTCATGCCAACAGCGATCCTTTTTTCACCGCGAGAAAAACAGATTTTCCCTCGGTGTTTTGCGGTTTCCGCCAACATGAAGGATGTAAATCAGGCGCCCCTGTCAGATTCCTTTCCATGAATCGTCTTCATTTAATAACCCGCAGCCTTCTCCCCCTCAACCTCATCCATCCCCTCTCTCCCTCCGTTTGTCCTTCTAAATACGCGCAAGTGTATTGTATGCAATTTCCTTGCACGAGTGCGCGTTCTCTCGCGAACGATTATGACTCTGGAAAGTGTTTGCAGTGCAAGGGGGATTAGTACGGGGAAGCGGGACAGGCCTGCACTCGCGCAAGCCGTGGGTGTGATCACCGGAGCTGTGGCGATGCCGCCGCTCACGGCCCTCGCATCCTCGCGGCGTCGGGGAGTTGAAAACAAAAATGTTCCCACGTGGCGCAAACGCTTTCGGCCGTTCGGAGCCCAGCGTCATCCACTAGGCAGATGCACGGTACCGTTCCGAGGGCTGCCCTCCTCCCTCCCACCGCACCCCCCCCCCCTCCCCGTGGCGGAAAATGAACAAAGCGCTGCTGGAAAATGTTGCAATATTTTAATAACTAAAAAATATTGACAACAGCAACGGCAACGGGCGCGTTTGGTATTTGCGCCGTTTTTTCACGGCAGATAGACCGTCACGAAGGCGCCTTTTCTGCGCCTGGCAAGCGTACTTAGTCACATCAGTCGCTTAGTTTCGAGGGCAAATCGCGATGGGCTCGACGGAGCCTTAACTTTAAGAGTGCCCTGCGACATTGGCATCTTTGCATGTTACAAACGATGGGACGAAGCCAGAGAAGGCGGAGAAAGCCCCCACAGAATGGGAGGAGGACATGAAAACTCCACGTGGGAAGGCGCCGGGGATCGAACGCAGGTCCTTCTTTCCTGCGAGGCGCGCGAGTGTTACTCATCGCCCACCACCAAAGCCCTCCCACGAGATGTCAGATGTCAAAAAAACTTCCAAAAGTCTAAAGTTCATAGTGTCTCCTTTCCTCGAAAAAGCTTAACACGCCTCCTGCATAAAGAGCCGTCAACAAAGGGATTGGAGACCCCCGCGCCGCGTGCCGTCAAACGCGTTCGTTGTTTCATTTCCCACGAGGCAATTGCTGTCGCAGCAGGACTTTGTTGTGCTCTACACTTCACCCGCGTCGTTTTGAAAATAATCTCGACAAACATCCTCGGCTCTTACACGACGGGTCTCTCGCGCGCAGCTCGGACAGACGCTGCAAGACGTTACGATGTCACGGCCGTTCTTTGCAACAAACAAAACCTGGCTTTGCCCTGCCCCGCCCGTGCCCGAACAGTCGTCTGGCACCTAATTGCTGGCGTACACAACAGCAGGGGCTGGTCATGTTGGACCCAGCGAGAACATTCGGCTGTCGCTTGCCAAAGTTTTGCGTGAACGTCGTCAAATTCCAAAAAAACGGAGTTCCTAACGAGCGCGGGCTTGAAGAAAATAACAACATACATGTTGAAAAAAAAAATCGGTGCGTAGCTATAATGAGCGAAGCAATTCTGTTCGGACACGATTCGAGGAATTGGCACGGTGCGATTCAGGGATGCGATTCAGGTCGAGGATCTATTGATTATTTTAACATTGTAGGGGGGGGGGGAGCACGGGGGTGGGGGGAGGGGGCAGCCACCTGCACCCATTACCTCCAACAAACAATTAAGCGAATTGACTCGACCTGCAGCAGTGTGGTGGTTAACACACTGAACTTGTAAAGCGCAGGTCGCCGGCTCAATGCCACGCTTCTAGCAGTTGCAACAGTGGTGCAAGATGTTAACTACCTCACCTTGGATACAGAAAGTCGTGGGTTTTATCCCGACCCTGATGAAATTCTCATCGCGGTTGTGGTGGTTGTGGTTGTTGTGGTGGTGGTTGTTGTTTACCGTGTTGGAGCCTCTCTCTCTCGTAGGGATGTCAATTGAGTAGCAGCGAGCATGGAAGCGATGTCCAGGTTGGAACTTTAAAATGCGGGACCTAGCCATGCGGGGCCTTGCCTCCTGCCCTTGCCTAATCGCGTTTGCTTCAATTATCTTGCTTAGTTGAGCAATCTTTGGAAGAACGTAATCAACCAGGCTATGCGTTAAGTGTGTGTTGACCGACTCTCTGTGTTGCATTGCATTACATTTCCTAATTTTACTCAGTTTGTTTGATTAAGTGTGCTTTCTCTCTCTCTGTGTGTCCCCGTGTTGTCGCGATATTATTTCCTGCAGTCACAAAAGCTCCAAGTCTCTCATTGACACAAGGCCGTAATTATAATAATTATAATATATATTGGGGGACACACATCCTCCTTCCAATAATCAAATATGCTCAAAATGTCCCCCCCAATATATTGCTATAAAATATATATTTTAATAATTATTGCGATGCTATGTTAATAAAAATAACAATTTGCTAAACCTTGGCCACAAAATCTGGACTTGTCTTCATATAATAATGCATAGATTTCTGTTTATATGATTGCGTTGCACTTTATGAATCCCTAATCTCTGCCATTACATACTATGAAACAAGAAAAGGTAAAAAAAGAAAAAAACAGAGCAATGTAATACAATACACTCTTAGACATTGTATGAAATTAAAAAAAATTCCATCCCATGTGTTGGTGAAATTTTTTAAATATTTTATGCAGGAAATGGCAGGAAATTCGTTATCAAATTTACATTTTTTTTCTGGGGGGGACCCCAGACCCCCTGGAAGATTTGGTCCCCCCAATGTTGACTTCATGGCTACGGCCTTGCATTGACATGCTAATTTCTCTACCCCCCCCCCTCTCTCTCTGCCCCCCTCTTTCTCTTTTTAAGGCCTCGACACAGAGGCGTTGTTTCTCTGTGTGCCTATGTGTGTATCTCTCGCTGTGTGTCTCTGTGTTATGTCTCTCTGTCTATGTGTCTCCGTGTCTGTGTTATCAACCTTAGCTGATCAAATGTTAAAATCGCCCACACCACTATCTCCGTCCACCCAGCCATATAAATGGGTTTCACCGCAGTTAGTCCATCGGTAGGTCGCGCGTGGTGGGATAAATTGTGGATACGTCCACCTCGTTCTACTAACACCTGCGGTCAATGTGGAAGAGCAGACCAAAAAAGCAACTGCTTCAGAGTTCGCCCTAGTAGAGCCCTTTCCATCAGCGGTGCCCTGAGCAAGCAATTGCATGGCTGTGCCTTTACCCTGTGCAAAATAATCGAAAATAATTGACATACGAACCCATGGGTTAGTGTATGATTCGACTTTCATCGCTTAAGCGAGGCATCGGTGCCTTGCGGGTAAATCTATGTTTGATTTAAATTGTCCCGGAGGGAACTTTCCCATGGCTCAGCATTGACCATGTGAGTCTACTCGCTGTGTGATTTAAAACGAATTCAGCGCTTTTGGAGTCGATATCGGAAGTAAGATTGTGCAAGGGTGGCAATGCGCCTCAGTGACGTGCGAGCCTGTCTGGTCTCATTTATCCGTGATGAATGAAATGTGACGGCATAATTAAATCCGGATCAAGTGCGGAAGTCATGGTTCAATTACGGGGGGCTTGATTCATTACGGAGCTCCCGCTTCTGATCCCATCAGCTCGCGCGCGATTGTCTCTAGATCTTCGTCCTACGCTGTGGCAATTTTGCAAAAAAAAAATCTCAATCAGATACGGTGACTGAATTAGTTAAGCTTTTTTTCATGTGTATAATTCTTAATCGCAAAACACTTGTGAGGTAGCTTTGACCAAATGAAACTGTTCCACGTGGCTTCTGAAGAAGAAAAAAAAGATAAAGCTTGAAAAAAAATGTAATTGACATCTGATGTGAAATGTTATTAGTTTACATTGAACTCGGAGCAGTGGACGTAGTGGCAGACTCAGGGTCTCCTTCGCTCACAATCTGGCCACAGACGCCTTGGACAGATTCCCATGTTTCCTAAGATTTAAATATATTTTGTACGAACAACTCCAAATGCCCAGATTAGTGTGAGCCAACGTTTGGAGCGTGGGTTGCGTCTTGGCAGTGCCCCTCTTTCCCTAAAGATTCAGCAAATGTCATTTCCCTTCGGGCTTCGGTTCAGTCTCTAAAAATCTCGCCGGAAAAAGTTAGTCGCGCGATGCAGGAGGGCATCAGAAAAAAATTGCGGCTGTCATTGGGTCTCTCTGAACACCACCAAAAATATGTTTAAATATGTTTACGAGACACCTCCGCGTGATAATGTGAGTACGCGTTTCTCTCCTTTTAACAAAGCGACGGAAATACTGGTTGTGCAGATTCCATTCCATCTAAGTACGTGGTAGTCGCGCACTTATCAGCAGGCTCAGTACTAAGTCAAATAGCCATTGGTTGCGTAGATTTAAATATGATCATAGCTCAGCAGAA